TGGGGGGGGGGGGGGAAGCAGTCAAGGGGCAGATGCACGTACATCATATCAGCAACGAATCATTAATTCATGAAGCCACCAGAAGCATTCACACGCTGGATAAGCTATAACACAGTTTTGTGTAGTCTACATTAATCTTAGTTTTTGTATAAAAAGTGTGAAGATCATTTATTCCGCATTAATAGCAGCAGACATTACTTGAATCTAATCGGTTCTTAATTTAATTGTGAATTTTCATGTGATTTATTAGCTTTGTTTACATTATATGGCCCTGCGTTCTGGTGGAGAGAGGTGTACATATTCGTCCTTCTGATATCTGAGGTTACATTCGTTAGTTCATATTAGCTTCTATTAACAGTCTGTTTTCTTCAAATTGTTTATGTTTCCGATTTGTTAATTGACATCATTAAAATATCCCAGCAGACGATCTGTTTCATAGTTCTTCATCATCCTGCTTTTCATGGACCGTGATAACAGCAAATTCTGAGCAGAAATTAAAAACAAACGACAAAAAAGCGTCTATTTGCTTCTGAACAGTGAATGTATCAGACAGGCCTCTACCTACACAAAATTCGGAATAGTTTTAGTGAAAACATATCATATATCAATGTCTTCTGACTGAGATTCACAAGGCGGTGTATACTTCGATCATAGCTTTCCGGATTGTGACCGTTTTGTTAAATATTAACGTACATATTACATTCCAAATCGTCAAATAATTTTCTTAGACCGTATTGCACGTCCAGAAACAGAGTTCCCAGATTTATTGACGGCTCAGAATTCTATGTTTCTATAATATCTTAAAAGCACGAAGGTATTTATATTCGTTAATATAAATAATATAAACGCCAGATGAAATAAGCACACAAACGTAAAGTATAATTTGACAACTGTAACTGGTCCGTATATTGCACTGAGTATGTGCAGAATCTTTCAGTGCAATTTATCATGTTGAATACTGATATATGTAAAGTATCCTCCCAGTAATATTTCATACTCAATGGCTAAAGGACAATACCAAGCCTAGCACAATTCGCATTCTTCATGTCAGTGAACAGTTATTAACAGCTTCCCCTTACTTCAAACATTTCTGTTCATAAATTGCATGTTGAATTACGAATAAAAGTCTAGAACCGCTCCTAAGTTACGATTATCAATCTGACAAATCGAAGGGCGTGTTAATAATTTGACAAGATACAATGAAATGTGCAGTGGCCAACTCAATATTTGTATCCTGCTGAGCAAAAAAGCCCCTTTCCACCTCTAAGTACGTATTTTCTTTGAAAATTGTCATGTAGTTGACACAGCTCAGAAATGATAACTCCATGGAATTGAGTGTTTCCTGAGAAGCTAACAGTCGTTCTGTTAGTCAATAAATTCATGTCTTTTATGGTAGGTGAATATTAATTACCGTGAACACTTGATCTTGTCATTAGTTCCTACCCAGTCCACACCCAACTACCCCATTTTATCCTATGTAAGCCTTGGTCTTGCGAGTGGTCTAATAGGCTACCATCTTACTATAAAAGTTTGTGATTCCTCGTTCTCGTCAACCAATTTGTCGTCAAAAAATGACGTCATCAACAAATAACGCTTCACAACAAAGAAATCAAAAAATATCAAGCCAGTCGCATTATCACTGCTCCAGAAGGAGCACTTAGCATTCTTGAATATTGACTGACAGTTGGCCTAAAACATCAGAAAAGTGAAAGAAGACGTTATCAAGTATTTGAAGTACCAACTCCAACAACTTCAACAAGGTAAACTGATACTCATTCGATATATTACGATTACGAAAACTATTATGAAAACTGACTTTATGATCGATTTTAAGACGAA